GGAAAAACATCAAACTGTAGGAGGTTGTATCCATTTCCTTCTGAAATTTGGGCAAATTCAAATATATTCCACATTTGCATGCTTACGATGTCATAGTATAGAAATGATAATTTCCCTATTCATGAGCCATAAATGCTTCAAAAAAATCTAAAGCATCGTTTATACTTATCCTTATATATTCAAATCTCACACAGAGTCAGCTTTCAGTTAAGGAAGAGTCGGGGGAAACATCAAAGAAAGTATTAGGGGAAAACCTAAGATTTATTGGAGGGGGATGAATTACGGCAGGGGTCTGTGAGAACTAAATCAAATTGGGAAGTCATACTTTTCGTCCTACCCAAACTACCTCCCATTTCCTGTTCATTTTTTTCTTGCCCTAATCTCATGGTTGCAAAAAAAAATCCTACAGTGTTTCCATTAACCCTAAACATGACAGTCCTTCCGAGGACAGACAGAGAAGCATGTCAGTCCAAAAAGCTGAAATCAGTGTGATGGAGTTTAGCTCTTCCTCAAGCCAAGGAGCTACTTTCTCACTGATCTGTTCAAAAAGAAATGGAAAAATTCACCAGCTGGGAAATGGCACAGGATGCATCTAAGCAGAGGGCCATTGACCTATTTCCTTCCCTGGAGCAGAAGAACACCATATGTTTCTCATCTCCCTCTGAAGAATTGACATCAAGTTCTTTTTAATAAGCAATAGCTGATGGCATCTAAGCACAAAATGTCTTGCTGAACTCTCTGATTGGAGGGTAGGAAACCCTTACCCAGAGAGGCCACGTTCCTATAGTTTTCCAGCATGACTTCCCAATGCAGCGCTTTTTGGTGAGGATCCAGCTGAGACCACTCCTCCTCGGAGAAACATACGGCCACGTCCTTGAAGAACACAAGATGCTCCTGAAGAAGGAAAAAAAGAAGGGAACAGGCCCAGGAGGATTTGCAAGATCTACAGTATTGTTCACAAATACCCAGAGCAAAGATATATACCAAGTAAAATGGCTATGCCTGGTAGGATTCCAAGGTTTGGGATATGAAAATGGACAGAGCCAAAAGCTTCTGACTGAAAAAATATTTCCGGTAGGTTTTATCAACTTGAGAGATTTCAGTGCCATTCAGTGAAAGCAACCCCACTTTCCTTCT